CGTGTTTAATAAAATAAATATTATATGTATGTTATACCTTTGAATGCTGATTTAATGTTACCATGCGCAAAAACCCAAAAAAAATATTGAGCAAAATTATTATATCCTAAAATAAAAATTTCAACTAAATAAAACAAAGAAGTGCAGTCTACAACAATTGACATTTAGTCACGGTTAATATAATAATAGTTACTTTTTTCTTTTTTTTCTCTTTATTGGTGATATATAAATATTTTTCATATGTATACATTTTAATTAGTTCCCTTGGACTTAGATGATGTATTTTTTTTTTAATGAATGATACACTGTCACTAATTATAAACATTCATATTTTTTAAACTATACAAAAGTATAATTGTTTTATTTAAATAAAAGATTCAGATCAACAATTTTTTTCTTATACATTTAGTTAACGAACACATCATAAAATATATGGACTAATAGCAGGGACGGAACCAGGATCAAAATGTAGGAGAGACTAACTAAAATTTCGGGGTTCACGGCAGCGCTCTGAAAAAAATTAGGTTCACAAGATATTGCAAAATGTTTATATTGATATCTTTTTATTAAAATGACATATATAGTATAATTTTATCATATTTTAAGGATGACACAAAATCTACATTAATCCAAATTATTCTAATAATCTATCGTACTTTATATTTTGGAGATTTGTGGCATCGTCTCAGATTTTTTTGGAGTCATTGATAAAAACATTCAAAAATAAGTAAATATTGATAAATTTTATTAAAATATTATTTTAAATTTTTATGTTAAATATTATATATATATATATATATATATATTTTAATTATTAGATGCATGCAACATGAAAATATAAATGAAAATGGTACCTTGAATTGCAGAATTAAAACAGGAAGAGTGAAGACGAAACTTGAACAATCTGTAATAGGGACAGTGACGGATCAAGAATGAAAATGCAGGGTCTGCCGGTTGTGGCGAGTCTAGAAATGTACTACAAAGTGGGCTTAAATTTTCGGAGGAATGGGGGCATTGCCCCCAAAAAAAAATTTAACTTTTTTTGTTGGATAAATAAGGAGAAGAAAAATTGTAGGATTTTTTTTGTATATTTTAAATTTCGCGTGGAATAATATATATATATATATATATATATATATATATATATATATAATATAATGTGTTTTTGGGGAGGGGCTAAAATAGAAATTATGACTTTTTTCTATATCTTGAATTTCGAGAGTGGACTAAATATTAATGTAGATATAATATAATGTGTTTTTGGAGAGAGGGGCTAAAAACAAATTGAACTTTTTTTTTTTGTAGAACAAATTAGGAGAAGAAAAAATTTATGACTTTTTTTCGTCATTACTTCTCACATCTCACTTGAAGTGAGATCTCTTTTGGAAAAAAAAGAACGTGTTGTTCACAAATCATTATTGCGAACCGGATGCGACGAGGACGATGAGCATGAGATTAGCAATCTAGGTAAAATTTGCAGAAGTAACCGTTCCGAAAACCGTTCAACAATCGATGAGATTATTTCAATACTCTCGAGCGAATGAGAGAGAAGAAGCCGATGCGCAAGAGCAAGATGAAGCAAGCAATGTGGTGATTTTCTCTCGAGTATTAGCAATTGAAGACTTGGTGTATTTAATTTGTGGAGGCTGCATATGTGTGATGATGGCAATTGGAGATTTGTTGCACTCTTATTGTTTTGCAAGGCAAATACGGCCACCTCCCTGGTGTATGGCCAAATTACGAAAAAAAAACCCTATTGTTTAAGTAATTGCGGGTAATATGTTTTTGGGGAGATGAGATATAATAAAATATATTTTTGGGGAGATGAGAAGACTTTTTTGTGTATATGTTTGAATTTCTAGTAGACTAAATAATAATATAGAGATAATACAATGTATTTTTGGGGAGAGAGACTACAAAAATTGAGGAAAAAAATAATAATACATATTTTTCCGTACCATAATATAATCGAATTTATGACCTCACCCATCTGTTTGAGCATCTTCACCACTAAAGCCAACTTTATTTTGTTACTTATGGTGGTCCATGGCATGCATAGACACCCCCTCAATCCGCCCCTGAATTGAGAGATAATGAATAGAAAATTGAGAACTGCATGGTCTATTTAATAAAACAAATATTGTATGTATGTTGTAACTTTGAATGCTGATTTAAAGTTACCATGCGCAAAAACCAAAAAACAATATTGAGCAAAATTATTATATCCTAAAATAGAAATTTCAGCTAATTAAGACAAAGAAGTACAGTCTACAACAATTGACTGTTAGTCACTGTTAAAGTAATAATAGTTATTTTTTTCTTCTTTTTATTAGTGGTATATAAATATTTTTCATACGTATACATTTTAATTAGTAATTTCAAATAGTTCCTTTGGACTTAGATGATGTATTTTTTTTTAATTAATGATACAGTCTCACTAATTATAAACATTCATATTTTTTAAACTATACAAAAATGTAATTGTTTTATTTAAATAAAAGATTTAGATCAACAAACTTTTTCTCATACATTTAGTTAACAAACACATCATAAAATATATAGACTACTAGCAGGGGCGGAACCAGGATCAAAACGTAGGGGAAACTAACTAAAATTTCAGGGTTCACGACATCGCTCCGAAAAAAATTAGGTTCACAAGATATTGAAAAATATTTATATTGATAATTTTTAATTGAAATGACATATATATTATAATTTATCATATTTTAACCATAACAAAAAATCTACATTAATCCAAATTATTCTAATAATGTATCGTACTTAATATTTTGGAGATTCGTGGCATCGTATCAGATTTTTTTTACAGTCATTGATAAAAACATTCAAAAATAAGAAAATATTGATAAATTTTATTAAAATAATACAATTTTTAACCATTTATATATATATATATATATATATATATATATATATATATATAACACCCCACATTTTCATAAACATATTATAGGGATTTATTGAATAAATTATCGATATGCACATTTCTATACATACATATTACCTTTCATGAATTAATTAGTAAATGCTATGCACCTTAATTGCTTATATGCATTATATGAGATTATGCTGAATAAATGATGAATATGCATTCATGGATTAATTAGTAATTTCAATGCATTCTAAGTGTTTAAGTGATTTTTATAAATTATGATATTTATGAATTAGGTGTACTTGTTTGATTAAATGATTTAATAACTTCGATTTCGTGATTAATTTATTCTTATGATTTTGTGACTCTACTCCTACGAATTTTGTGAATTAGAATTTATTATGCAACTTAATTGAATTAGTTAATTCATGAATTTTCATAGTTTAATTAATGAATTTATGATTAGTAATTAGTTAATCCCATTTATCTAAGTGTTTATATGACTTATAATAGATTTTATAATTTGGTTAATAGTTCCACTCAATTTCTCTCTTATTCTGTAATTAAATATTTATATGTGCTTAAGTGTGTGCATGAGCCGTGTAATTCTTATGCATATGTGTGAATTATATGAATGTGCCATGTGTATGTGTATGGTGTGTTTATATGACATATTATATGAATATGTATACTATCATATATTATATGTGCTTGATTATATATGTGAGGATTTAATTATGTGTATACATGTATGTATGTTCTATGTGCATGTTTATTTAATGTACATGTATATGAGGATTTAATTATGTGTATATATGTATGTATGTTCTATGTGCATGTTTATTTAATGTACATGTATATGACATACATGCCCATAACTCTCTCTCTCTCTCTCGGTAAATACATGGTAATTTCCTCCCAAATTCTTCTTCCTATTATTTTAATATTATATATACATATAAATATAAGTTTTGTGTGTGCATGTGCTTGTGTGTTATGAAAGGGCCGTGTGTTTGTCTTGAGTATGCCAAGTGTATAATGCTTGTTGTGATGTATTTACAAGTGTCCTTGTTCCCCTAATTGCAATCTACACCCTCTTGTCTTCTTTATTGCAAGTAAGTCCCTCTACTCTCCAATAAATAGACTCTTTCTCTTCAGATTTTCAGCACACAAAATCAGCCCTTCTCTCCTCTTTTCTCGTCCAAATACAGCCCCAAAAATGAAGAATTCATCTTCCACTTCAAAGCCTTCAAGATTCTTCATAAAAATCCCTCTTTTTCTCTTCTAAAATCCTCTCAAAATGCCTCTCTCTCCCCAAATACACTCAAAGAAATAACCATATAATCTCTCAAAACTCAGCCCAAAAGCTCTCCAATACCACCAATGTCAAGCCCAAAGACTTCCAAGCCAAAACTCCATGGATCCTTGGTTTCTTCTCCTTCTTAGCCTTTGATTTTCATGGGTAAGGACCTCTTGGTCTTTACTGAAATAATAACCCAATTAATATGAATTATATGTGTCTTAATGAATTATATGTTTGTGGTTTTAATTTTGGGCTTTAGAAGATAAAGTTCTTGATGAGCACTAATTGAATTTCAGTTTCGTAGCCTCTGTTTGTATTGCATGTCTGATCGGTTAATCCCTGAGATAAAATTATGACATTTTATGGTAGTTTAGATGTTTCGGTTAGCTTCATGTTGATATAAATTATGCATAAATCGGATTTATATTGAGTAAGTTATGAACCATTTTCTGAAACTACACAGTTTCTGAGTCATTTATGAATTATGTGTTTAACATTAATTTATACTAATTTGACTTGCGTGATTTACTTGGATATGATTATAGACTTGTTAAACGTCTTCTCTGCAAAATTTCACAGTGTTTGGTTAAAGGTATGAATTATTTGGTAATTTTAAAGTTGATTGCTCTGTTCTGGAAATTTGACTGTGTGACTGCACTAAATTAGTTATTTCTCTTAAACGGTTAAGTCTCTTGCTAAACTGTTTTAACAAGGTATAAAATACTTATAGATGAACATCGTGTGAAATTTTCAGGTGTTTTGGATATAGGTTCTAAGAGATATGAATTTTCAAAGTTGAAATACCGAAACTGTCCGATTTTCTAAAATAAACTATTGTGAACTAGAAAATATGTTTAGAAGTATGGTTTTAAATTCTTGATCCTTAGTTAATAGAAGAATTTAAATTATATTAAGATAATAAAATATAATAAGTTGAATTTAATTATAGTTATGGTCATGAATTATTTATTTAAGTCATTATGTGTGTTTCGATTGATTTGGTATGTTGGTTTGAGATTCATTATGTGAGTGCCGTATGGGGGTAAGTATTGGAAATGGTTGAGATTACTTGTGGACTTGTTAGTTAATTACACTCGTTAATGCTATATAGTATATACTATATGTCATACTTTATATACACGAATATATATTTATATATCCTAGCCTGCGTGGTCGTAGGAATAATTCCCGATCCATGGCTTATATATGTATACTATCTCTATAGCAACCTACGTGGTCGTCGAGTAAAAACTCCGATCCATGGTTTATGTAAATATAAAATATACTATTATAAATATATGTGGGGGTGTGTACAGCTATATGCGTGTGTGTGTGGATGAACAATAATCTTTACGTGATTCGTATTTATTGTGCTACGCTTGATTGGATATCATTGCCGTGTGTGTGTTTGTACAGCCGTGTATATGTTTGTGCCATATGTGTGATTTAATTAGTCTATGTGATAGTATGTGGTTAGTAAATCTTTGTGTTATTTATTGTGACATATTTGTGTGTTATTTGTGCTGATTAAACGGTAATAGCATTTTGGTCTTAGCATTCATGTCCATGCATAGCACATATTTTTGAAAGTTTGGAAAATTAATGGAATGCTTGAGTGAATAAACGGGATACGGTGGGCCGGTATCCAGATATTGTTAAAGAGTGGTTTGATCCCACTAAAGAAACGGGCTCGTAACAGTTTATTGGCCAGGTATGTAAACTAATTATCCACGGATCCGCTAAAGTTAAAAAAATCATTTTTCCACGCATTGCATTCACATGCATTTTGGTTATTTTGCATAATAAAGTGAATTATGTGCTTTTATGACCTATGTGTAATAATGTGCTTTTGTGACCAGTGTGTTGTCGTATATTACCTGATGTTTAGATTGTCACGTTGGGATTCTAATAAGGATCCCGTTGCATTGCATTTATATGCGTAAAGTGTTAAAATTGATATTAAAGGGACTTTATATCCGCGAGCAATATAAAGATTTTATATCCGTATAATACGAAAAAGGACTGTGTGTCCAATATATCAAGAATCAGGTAAACAGTATTATATGTATATATGTAGAGCTATATGTTCGACTATGTTTTATGATAATATTCATGCTTTGTGGTTCTTAATTTTGGAGAATAGAAGTACTATATTTGTATGTGATGTTATGTGCTTTCACTTATGTGATCCAATGTCTTGGTCTAAACGAATAAATTGAATATAGAGGACATAGTTGAAGCTTTAGGATTATCCCTACACGAAAGAACATAGAGACGAGGACTTTAGGGCTCCTATAGGACGTGAGTGACACGTTGAGAGAGGCGTGAGTATCGTCAGGCCAATGTTCTTACTGAGCCAGTGTTTGGGCTCACGCTTTATGCGAATTTCCCCTTTTCAGGTTCTCGAAGTAATCAGAGTGCGCAATGGAGCGGAGTTCGAGGAATCACGAACCTTGATGCCTTGCATGTCTTACCCGGATTTCGTAAAAGATCATGTTTTCACTTTCGCATGTAAACAAAAGGTCGTATGTACAAAAAAAAAATGGAGATTTTCCTGATTATATTTTACTCTGATTTAGGAATCTAGCCTATTAAATGGGGGTATTTAAATCAAGTTTATTTTCCTTCCGCTGTCTTACAAGTGTTTTCTAAACCCCGATGATGTGTAGGTAACACTCTTTATGAAAATCGTAACTTTGAGTTGTGGGTATATTTAAAGTAAAGAAAAATGATTTGATAAGGTTTTCTCAAAGTTCAAATTGAATCCGAAACTTTTAATAAAGTCTACTAAAATATTTCTTCTTTAACTAAAATTTATGGAGGGTGTTACAAAATATATATATATATATATATATATATATATATATATATATATATATATATATATATATATATATATGTGCTTTAATTATTAGATGCATGCAACATGAAAATAAAAATGAAAATGGTACCTTGAATTGCAGAACTAAAACAGGGAAAGAGAAGACAAAACTTGAATAATCTGTAATAGGGACGGTGGCGGATCAAGAAAGAAAATGCAGGGTATGCCGGGTGTGGCGAGTCTAGAAATGTACTAGAAAGTGGGCTTAAATTTTCGGGGAGGCGGGGGCATTGCCCCCGAAAATAAATTGAACTTTTTTTGATGGATAAATTAGGAGAAGAAAAAATGTAGGATTTTTTTTGTATATTTTAAATTTCGCGTGGACTAATATATTTATAATATAATGTGTTTTTGGGGAGGGGCTAAAATAAAAATTAGGACTTTTTTGTATATCTTGTATTTTCGAGTGGACTAAAATAAAAATTAGGATTTTTTTGTGTATTTTTTAAATTTTAGTGGACTAAATAATAATATAGATATAATATAATGTGTTTTTGGGGAGAGAGGCTAAAAAAATTGAGGAAAAAAATAATAATACATATTTTTTCGCACCATTATAGATTCGAACTTATGGCCTCACCAATATATTTGAGCATCTTTACCACTAAAACATACGTTATTTTGTTATTTATGGTGGTCCATGGCATGCATGGACACCCTATGAATTCGCCCCTGAATAGGGAGATAATGAACAGAAAATTGAGAACTACAGGGTGTATTTAATAAAACAAATACTGTATGTATGGTGTACCTTTGAATGCTGAGTTAAACTTACCACGCACAAAAACCGAAAAAACATATTGACCAAAATTATTATATCCTAAAATAGAAATTTCAGCTAATTAAGATAAATAAGTGCATTCTACAGCAATTGACATTTAGTCACTGTTAATGTAATAATACTTAATTTTTTTTTATTTTCTTTTTATTGGTGGTACATAAATATTTTTCATATGTATACATTTTAATTAGTAATTTCAAATAGTTCCCTTGGACTTAGATGATGTATTTTTTTCTAATTAATGATACAGTGTCACTAATTATAAATATTCATATTTTTTAAACTATACAAAAATATAATTGTTTTATTTAAATAAAAGATTCAGATCAACAAACTTTTTCTCATACCTTTAGTTAACGAACACATCATAAAATATATGGACTATTAGCAGGGGCGGAACCATGATCAAAACGTAGGGGAGACTTACTAAAATTTTGGGGTTCAGGGCAGCGCCCCGAAAAAAAAATTAGGTTCACAAGATATTGCAAAATGTTTATATTAATAATTTTTAATTAAAATGGCATATACATTATAATTTTATCATATTTTAAGCATGACAAAAAATCTAAATTAATCCAAATTATTCTAATAATGTATCGTACTTAATATTTTGGAGATTCGTGGCATCGTCTCAGATTTTTTTTAGATTCTTCGATAAAAACATTCAAAAATAAGTAAATAATAATAAATTTTATTAAAATAATACAATTTTTAACCATTTTATTTTATATTTTTTATATTTCGGATAAGGTTTGCTTATTTTATCGGACCCAAACCTCATTTCGGATAAGGTTTGCCTCTTTTAATGAGTGAAAGCTACTCTTGAACTACTGTTACTAATATATATATCTACAACCATTTGGTCAGTGAATAGTTCGAAGCCTTTTTGAGTCGAGTCAGTAAATCACGTGGCCGAAAGCTCGCTACACGGCTCAATTAGAAAGCCCAGGGGACTACACATTGCACGGCCAATATAAATTATACATATGGTCAGTGAATAGTTCGAAGCCTAGTTGAGTCGAGCCGGTAAACCACTTGACTGAGCACTCACTACAAGGCTCAATTAGAAAGCCCAGGGGACTCCACATTGCACGACCACTATAATCTCGTTCCTTTTAATTGCTCTGTTTTTTATGGGAAAAAACTACCATTAGACGTGTGTGTACGCTACCCAATAAGAGCATCTTTGTGTTTGACTTGGGATTATTAAGTTTATTGGTTGCATTGGCAGTCGGATTTTTAGGGATTGCGCTTATCGTGAATGTGAAGATAAATCCCATATGTTTTGTTTGTCCATGCAGTATCCTATTCACATATGTCTCTTCACTAATGTTTATTTCTCATGTTTACCTCTTGTCTTGCATTAGGCATTTAAACAAAAAAAAAAAAAAGTGACGCAGAACGGAAGCACGGTAAAAAAATTAATTTCTACGAATTAATCTATAGAACAAACGAATTCCGGAATCCACCAGAAAGTTGAGAAAAGAACTCTCGATTTTATTGATAAGGAAAATTTAACGTGCTAGAAAATAAACCTACTGGATCTATATATAATACGTAAATCAAGAAATCCTAATTAAACTAGAAAATAGAGAATTACGATAAAATAGAACTCAAAATATACTAGGACTCTAACTATAGGAAATTGAAAATAACTGAATATTAAACCTGCTAGGACTCTAATCCTGATGGATTACTTGTCCCTTATCAATCCCCTCTTCTTTGAAAGAACTCAACTCCGAGTTCATATCGGGATAGAGTGGATCATTCTCACGATACTCATATAAGTCAGCAACGTTAAAAGTTTTTGAAATGCCCATGGTTGATGGAAGATCAACCACATATGCATTGTCATTGATCTTATGCAAAATTTTGAAAGGACCAATACTTCTTCGGTTTCAATTTGCTGTAAGTGCCTGCCGGAAACCGCTCCTTCCTAAGAAACACCATGATAGAGTCACCAACCTCAAAAACCTTCAAACGACGATGCTTGTCTGCAGCCGCCTTGTATTTGGCATTCCTTTGCTCGAGTCTTTCCTTAACCTCGACTTGAATGTCATGAACCTCATTAGCCAATCGTTCTGCCGCAACACTAGCCCGATGCTCTTTAGGTAGACGTATTAAATCCACTGCATGCTTTGGAACAGCCCTATACACCAAACAAAAAGGAGACACACCTGTTGCAGTATGCACGGCACTGTTGTAAGCGAACTCAGCTTGAGGTAAAGCATGATCCCATTGTTTAGGTCGATCCCCACAAATGCATCGAATTAAATTCCCTAGTGTTCGGTTAGTCACCTCTGTCTGCCCATCGGTTTGGGGATGCGCCGTGGTACTTCGATTCAGCGAAGTATCGAACATCTTCCATAGTACGATCCAAAAATGGCTCAAAAATTTAACATCCCGATCAGAAGTGATAGTCTTCGGAACGCCATGCAAACGAACAATTTCCCGGAAAAATAACCTTGCAATGTGCGAAGCGTCCGATGTCTTTCGACAGGGGATAAAGTGAGCCATCTTGGAAAACCGGTCAACCACCACAAAAACCGAATCAACTCCACGTTGTGTCCGAGGCAACCCCAACACGAAATCCATAGATAGGTCCTCCCAAATACCACTAGGAACAGGAAGAGGAGTGTATAGCCCGGTGTTCTGCGATTTGCCTTTAGACACTTTACAAACATAGCACTTTGCCACCACCTTTCCCACGTCTTTCTTCAGTTGAGGCCAATAAAATCGTTCTTCTACACTGCAGATTGTCTTATCACGTCCCAAATGACCACCTAGTCCTCCGGCGTGTAAATCAATAATCAACTTCTCGCGAAGAGAAGCTCTCGGAATGCACAATTGATTACCCCGAAATAAAAATCCTTCGCTGATGTAAAAATCATCAAGCTAAGGGTTTGTTTTGCAACACATTCACTCCAGATTTGGCCAAAATCCTCATCACCTTCATATAATTCCTTCAAACAGTCTAAGCCAACCACCTCTTCGCTTAGAGTTGTAAGTAGAGTTGCCATGCGACTTAAAGCATCCGCGACACGATTCGTAGCCTCACTTTTATGCTTAATTACGAACGGGAATTTTCGCAAGAAATTCGTCCACCTCACGTGCATATTATCCACATTTTTTTGGTTGTTCAAAAACTTCAAGGCCTGATGATTTGTATATAACACAAACTCCCGCTGAATTAGGTAATGTTCCCACTGCTTCAAGGCTCGAACCACTGCGTAAAACTCTTGATCGTAAGTGCTCCATTTCTTACGGGCATCGCTCAACTTCTCGCTGAAGAATGCAACGGGCCTCCTCTCTTGGGATAAGACCGCCCCAATGCCAACTCCACTGGCATCACATTCTATCTCGAACACTTTAGCAAAGCTAGGCAACGCAAGTACTGGTGTAGTACTCAGCTTTTCTTTGATCACTGCAAAGCTATGGTCCGCCTCTTCGCCCCAATGGAATTTCCCTTTCTTCATGCACTCCGTAATAGGCGCCATTATTGTACTGAAATTTCGAATAAATCGGCGACAGAAAGTAGCGAGTCCATGAAAACTACGAACATCTGAAACGGTTTTAGGCGTTGGCCACTCCCTTATAGCCCTTACCTTCTCATTATCAACTTGAATTCCATCCGCACCAACTACAAACTCCAAGAAAACCAAACTTCTCGCCATGAAAGTGCACTTCTTCAAATTAATAAATAGTTTATTCTCCCGCAACACAATTAATACTTGGCGAAGATGTTCCATATGCTCGGTTTCATGCTTACTATAAATCAATATATCGTCAAAATAAACCACCACGAACTTTCCAGCAAAAGGTCTTAATACCTGATGCATCACGCGCATAAAGGTGCTCGGTGCGTTTGATAGTCCGAAGGGCATCACCAACCACTCGTACAACCCGTCCTTCGTTTTAAATGATGTTTTCCACTCGTCCCCTGGTCGAATCCGAATTTGATG